ATATATATATATATATATATATAGAAACTAGAAACAACTTTTATTAAAAGATAAAATGTTTAACATTAGTAGCATATTTTTATTATAATTCTAAACATTCCATTATTTTAGTATTTATTATCTTCTTAATTAGTAGAATGTAAAAGAAAATTTTGGCTAACAATGATTAAGAAAGATCGGAATATGCAATAATCAATCTGTGAACAAAATCCAAGTGGGAATCCTGATCCTTTGTCCCTAACACCTCATTCACACGTCACGTCATTACAACATTCATCCTTCTTCTCAAAGGCAAGCAAGTAATTACCACGTTAACACGCATGCCAAAACCATGTAAGACACTCCTATGATCTCTGTCTGTCGAAGACAGCATACCCTTAATTATCTTACATAAAGCTGTGATCTTTCTCTCTGTTATGTATTGCACCGGCCAATCATAGTGGGTGTGTGAACGCTGACGATAGAAAAAGAGAGAAAAAAGATAAATGAATAAATAATAATAATAAAGTACATTTTTGGAAAAAAAGAGGAGGGAGATAAACCGAAAAAGTAAAGCAGGGGCGTTGAACAATGAGATTAAAAAACGTAGCAGAGATAATAATAAAAAATAATAAATAAAAGGGGGTTGGTTTGGTCGGGAGGAGTTGGAGAAGCAGAGAGAAGGAGAAAAGCATAGAGGAGAGTGTGTGGGGGCGTTGCATTGAGTCAAAGGCGATCAAAGAAAGAGTGTAGTGGTAATAATCTATGTACTGAGATACATGGGTGGTGGAGGAACGCTCGTGGAAGGGATTCGAAGATTGTTTCAACGACGCGCTTCTAGCTCTGCTGAAAATCAAAACAATGCCAACAATAGCCGCGTCTACGTGAGAGATTTGCGCGCGCAGTTGGCTTCCATTCCCAACCACGACCACCTTGTTGACCCTGATTTCGATTTCTCTACCTTGAAGCCCATCAAAGTTCCCGCACAAATCCCCTTCAGACCCTCTTCTATGGATCATCACAAAAAGGTTCTCTTTTTCATCGCCCCCATCTCCTCTTTTTTCTTAGTGCCATCTTTTTTCTCTTGTCTTTTCATTTTCTGTTTCACTTCTTCTGTTGGGTACTGCTCAAGTTTCGCTTTTTATCTTTTTGCAATCCACCCCTTTATCTTCTTGTGTGATCGCTGTTTTTGTCTTGAGGTTTGCCGGATCAATTTGGTTGTACCCTTTTGTCTTTCTCTCTCTCTCTCTCTCTCTCTCTCTCTCTCTCTGACAAGATTTCAGTAATTACCTGATGCAAAAGAGAAGAGGCATAGTTTGGCATGATATTGATTAATTCCTTTCCGGGCCACTTTTCTTATAGTACTGGCTAGATGAGGGTGTACGAACCAAAAATGAGTGATTTCTTGGATCAAGATGAGACAAGATTTGAATCCCTGTTGAGAAAGAAATATCCACGTTTAACATGTGATATTATCGGGACAAGATTTCCTGGATGCAGGAAACCCGTGCGAAATAAATAAAAAAATAGTTGTGTGGTTTGTGTTCTGCTTATGTTGATAAAGTACCGAATTTCATGACATTGTTACTTTGTGTGAATATTGTGTTCTTTCTTGATGAATTTTTTCTGTATTTCGCACGTTTAATAAGTTATAGTCATCAAGTTATGTTTCTTATGGTTTATGGTTATCAATCAGGGTGCTCCAGAGTCAGAGTTTTTTACTGAGTATGGAGAGGCGAGTCAATACCAGATCCAAGAGGTTGTTGGAAAAGGAAGTTATGGTGTTGTGGGTTCTGCCGTTGATACTCACACGGGTGAAAGGGTTGCAATCAAGAAAATTAGTGATGTTTTTGAGCATGTATCCGATGCCACACGGATCCTTAGAGAAATTAAGCTCTTGCGGTTGCTTAGACATCCTGATATTGTGGAAATTAAGCATATTATGCTTCCTCCTTCCCGGAGAGAGTTCAGGGATATCTATGTAGTGTTTGAGTTGATGGAATCTGATCTTCATCAAGTAATCAAGGCCAATGATGATCTTACCCCCGAGCACCATCAATTTTTCTTGTACCAACTTCTAAGGGGCCTGAAATATATTCATACAGGTATCATATCCTTGTTAGAACTGGCTTACTTACTTTTTTCAGATAGTGATTTTAAACTAGTATAGCATTTTCTTGCAGCAAACGTGTTTCATCGTGATCTGAAGCCAAAAAATATTCTTGCTAACGCTGACTGCAAACTAAAAATATGCGATTTTGGGCTTGCTCGAGTTTCATTCAATGATGCTCCATCAGCTATATTCTGGACTGTGAGTAGCACACCATTGTGTGGCCATGTTGAACTGTTACATTTATCAATTATGTTCTTTCTGACTTTTAAGAGTGGTGGAAATTGTAAGTTGCAATTTAGGTTTCTCCACAAACCTGTGGCTGACTTATTTTTTCTACTTTGAATAAGGATTATGTTGCAACTCGGTGGTACCGTGCACCGGAATTATGTGGTTCTTTTTTTTCAAAGGCAAGCTTCTAATTTTCTTTTAACAACATATTTTCTTGGGTAGTATGCAATAAAAGCTATTGAACATGCTTGGTGTGTTGAAATAAGCTTCCAATTATAAAATTCTTGTCTTTTGCAGTACACTCCTGCAATTGATATATGGAGCATTGGATGCATATTTGCAGAAATGCTCACTGGGAAGCCATTGTTTCCTGGAAAAAATGTTGTGCACCAATTGGATCTCATGACTGATTTGCTTGGCACTCCTCCTCCAGAGTCCATTGCAAGGGTTAGTATATAAAAATCTAATTTGAAGTTTTCTGAAATCAATAAGGCAGACTTGTGTTGTGACATGGTTTATGGCTTTCTCCACTGTATACAATATTCTCTAAGTATATAAACTTTTAATCTTAATTTTGCAGATTCGAAATGAAAAGGCCAAAAGGTATCTCAACAGCATGAGAAAAAAGCAACCAATTCCACTATCCCACAAATTTCCAAATGCAGATCCATTGGCTCTCCGGTTACTGGAACGGCTACTTGCATTTGATCCTAAAGACCGTCCATCAGCTGAAGAGGTTGGTCTCCTATCCCAAAGGGGAAATTTCATTGATAATCACCTATGACGATATTTCATTATTTCTCTTATGCTTGTGATACCAGGCACTAGCTGATCCTTACTTCATTGGTTTGGCGAACATAGACCGTGAACCATGCACTCTACCCATTTCAAAACTTGAGTTTGAATTTGAGAGAAGGAAATTGACCAAAGATGATGTCAGAGAGTTGATTTATCGAGAGGTATGATCGTAGAACATTTATATAACTCCTGCTTCAATCAATTGTGTTCTACTCTTTTTTTTTGTCCTGTGATAATAATTCTTTAAATTTTTCAAGTGAACAGATTTTGGAGTACCATCCCCAAATGCTGCAAGAGCATATTCGTGGTGGAGATCAAACTAGCTTCATGTATCCAAGGTAGATGTGCTACAATTAATATCCAAAGCACTGTTTATAGTTCTGTCACAAGGGACAAACAGTAGATCTTCAATATTAAATAAGATACTAAGCAAACTTTTACTGTATAACGTTTACCAACACCTAATTTTATAACTGTTGACAGGAACCCTTCCTTGCATTGTTGTTGTTGCTGCGATTTTACTTTTTGGCAAATACTTCCAAAATCTCATTCCTTTTGAATATAATGTTGTTAATGCTAATTCTTAGAGTTAAATTTTGTACTGAATACAACATTTCTGACGGCTAGTTTTCCATTTACGTTCTGCATGTCATCTAAGAACTCTAACATGGAATGTGAGGTTCTTTGAAGTTAGCTGTCATTGTTTTGGTAATTAGTTGGTAATTCTATGTTATCTTTTTGCATAGTGGGGTTGATCGGTTCAAGAGACAGTTTGCACATCTTGAGGAGCATTATGGGAATGGTGAACGAAGCACTCCATTGCAGAGACAGCATGCCTCCTTACCTAGGCAAGTCTTGGTTAAATATTTGGTTCAAATGCTGGATTGTCAACTTGCACATTAAACAGTCTTTGTCTTGTTCTTTTGGAGATTTCATTGGTTTCATATTTGTTATTACTCATGGATTTTAATCTTAGGTCCAGTTTATTAGTGTCTGTTCTAAGATGAGTTTGGCAGACAAGTCTGTGAACCTTTTCTATGGTACTGTGAGAGTTATATGCAATTTCACTTTATGCAGAGAGAGAGTTTGTGCTCCCAAGGATGAAAGTAAACAACACAACGATATTGAAAATCCAAGTGAAACAAATCTACAAAGTCCTCCAGGGTCTGATGCGACAGGTTCTCAAAATGGAACATCCAGATCAAACTACAGTGCGCGTAGCTTGTTAAAAAGTGCGAGTATTAGTGCTTCTAAGTGTGTAGTTGTGAAACAAAATAAAGATCCAGAGGTAGTTTCTTACTCTATCTTTTCACAAGTGCATGGCTTTATTAAAAGAGAAATTGTTATATGGTTTAAAAACATGAGATTCTAACCACTCTTTAGTAACCACACACATGTGAACAAATTCTTCACTTTAGAATTGGAACCATGGTTTTGGACTTCAATGGTTTCCTCATAGTTAGAGTTTTTGAAATATGTGGAATAATTGGTTGCAATTTGTGTTGTTAATAAAAATATTGATGTAATTGTGTATTTGTTTTGCATTAGCAAGAGGCAATTAAGGAGATAAATGATGAGACGATGGATGATGTGAGAGATGTTGCTGCCCTCCATGCTTGATTTTGGTTTTGGTGTTGCTTCGTACCTTCTTCCATGCTCTGATTCTTTGCACAATGAGAGAGAGGTGGTGATGGTGGTTTGAAGCACTGTTAGTGCTAGAAGAAGCTCGCTTTAGGACTAAGCTCGTTAGTCATCAAATGCCATTTTGTTTGCGTTACTGTTGTAACCATTTATTTATTGTGTACGGCAAACGCAATGTATACTACTCACTCATGTTTTATGCTATTAATTTGAAACAGATCGAAAGGAAATAATGTTAGAAAGAAAGAAAACTCTGCAGTTTACTGTAGGGTGTGCAGTTGAAGTTTGTTAACTTTGATTAAAGATATTAACTGTTAGCCTAATAATTTAGGCCTATTGCTTGCACTTTATTGGGCTAACATTTCAAGTGGCAAGTAGTGTAGGTCCACTGTAATAATTAGAGTAAAATAGATTACATTACATCCATTGTCAACCATTGCGATGTTTCTTATCCATCAAGGGTCAAATCACCCCCTGGGATTGAAAGGGAAGACAAGCAGCCGAAGGATCCACTTCATCTAACAATGGTCTAGATAGGCATGCAATTTATCATCATTAATTATTCGTGAAATTCTGTGATAAATAAATAGTAAAATTAGTCATTGACCAATTAAAATGAACCATGATTGGTCGAAAACTCAAGTAGATCACGCTATAAGATTCCATTCAAAGCATGCTGATAATATTTCAATAATAATTTCTTTAACAGAAAACTTTCAACAGTTGAATAATTTATCATCAGATTTTATAACAAGTGCATGAAAGGCAAGTACAAGAGAGTATAACAAAAATTAATTGTTTACTTAAAAATTGTATTGTGTAAATAAATACAAATAAGAAATGAGTAGTGTTTTGAGGATAGATTGAAAGTTAACTTATTATCACTCTTCTTCATGTCCCACCTCCTAACTCCTTAGCAGCCATGAGGTAACGTCAATAAGGTCAAGAAAATACTGTGAACTGCATTCAGCGTAAGTCAAAAATGTCAGTTGGGAGCTGATATCATGCTAGTTGGGGGTTGAGATTTATCGGGTACCAGTACATTCCCACGTTGCCAAATAATTCTGTGAACTGCATTCAGCTTACTCTTCCATTTATTCTTTGCATGTCATACAATTTGATTAACTTTTCTGGGATATAATTCTAACAACTGCCACATTCCAACTTCCATCAGATGATCATACTTTGTGATTCTGAGTAAGGCCCTTGTAATTCAGATTATCTGATCACCCTTATTGTCAGTTTTATGCATTCGGGTGGATCAAGACAGACATAAATGTGCTTCACATTGCTTCAGCACTTCTTCAATCACATAAATACGTCCAAAGAGTATATATATTCTTTAAGTTAATTTTCACCATATCTGTCCATTTTTACCAATAATCCCCACAGGAACAAATACCATCATTGAAGTGGTGAAACCGGTTAGAATCCCTTAAGATAATCAATCTTCCAACGATCTTGGATATGTGTTTGATGGCATTGTGACAGTCTTGACAAACTCGTAAGTTTTTTATGACTCGTATTGGTCTGCCAGCAGGAATAGTCAGGATTCCAAATGCTACAGCCAATTTCTCACTGTGATATCTGAGCATGTGCTCCTTTTCTTCCTCTTCCACATCATGCAAAACCAATTTTGTTGAAGAAACATACCCCTCGCGCCTCATTTTCAAATCTAGCTCTTCTAAGAAGGCATATATTCTATCCTTTTCTGGGTGGAAACAATCCCCAACTGCGAATATATGAATCTTGTTTTGTACCTCAACCCAACTATACCCAGTTACCTTCTGCACGCCAACTTCCTTCATTCTTGATCTCATCTTGCCAACATCAACCCACCTACCAGAAGCCGCATATAGATTTGAAAGAAGGACATACATCCCTGAGTTGTGAGGTTCCATCTTAAAAACCATCTCAGCAGCCTTCTCACCCAGTTCAATATTACCATGAATCCGGCTTGCCCCTAATAGAGCTCCCCATGATGCAGCACCGGGCTCAAAAGGCATTTTTCTCATTAAGTTCTCTGCTTCTTCCAGGCGGCCAGCTCTTCCAAGAAGATCAATCATGCAAGTATAATGTTTTGAACTTGGTGTTACATTGTAATCCCTATTCATTGTATAAAAGTATTCAGTTCCCCTGTCTATAAAGCCAGAATGACTACATGCAGATAAAACACCCACCTGAAACGTAATTAGAAGAAGAATAAACAGAAAGTTAGAAAATAGAAAAGGGTTAGCGAAGGCATGACATTACTGATTTATAGAAACAAACAAGATTAATTCCGTATCAAGAGAGATAGCAGGTTCTGGAGTATGAGAGATTCTGTACAAGCAAATAGAAAAACGAAAGGTCCAAGGGAATTCGAAGTCTTCCCAATGCCCAATCTAATTCCGGCCTAAACCTTTCCGATTCAAACTTTCCAAGCTTATACCTCCTAGAAACTAAACTGGATAAAATATGAAGTACTGATGGTACCCGTTCAAATTTCCACCCAACTGGATAAATCGACAGAAACAGATGCAAACAACAAGCTGTAAATGAAAAATCTAAATGCTTATGAAATGTATAGAATGCATACCATTGTAATCTCATCAGGTTTAACACCTGTTTTCTTCATTGATTCGAATAATATTAAAGCCTGTCCGCCAAATCCATGCCTAGCATAACCAGCTATCATTGTGTTCCAAGAGACGACATCTTTCTCCTCTATTCCTTCAAACACATTATCAGCTTCATCTGTGCTGCCACATTTAAAATACATCCCAAGAAGCGCATTTCCCACAAAACACCCAGTCTCAAATCCTGCCTTCACCACCTGCCCATGAACTTGTTTCCCTAACTCCAAGGCAGCAATATCAGCACATGTGCTCAAAGCACAACTGAAGGTAGACCTATTGGAATTTTCCCCATCTCGTTTCATCTCCACAAACATGTTAAGAGCCTCCTCAAAGTGTTCATTCTGAGCATAGCCAGTAATGATAGCAGCCCAAGATACACAATCACGCTGAGGCATCACGTCAAACAATTTTTTAGCTTGAGTTATACCACCATTTTGACAATAGCCAGTAATCATGGTATTCCATGAACTTATATTCCGACAAGGCATTGTCTCAAACAACTGCCTTGCAATGTCCATTTTCTTGTCTTGCACATATCCCGCAAGCATAGCATTGTATGAAATTTCATTTTTTACAGGCATCTCATCAAAATACTTTCTTGCTTCATCCAACATTCCGTTCTGCACATATCCAGAAACCATTGCCGTCCACGTGAACACATCCCACACCGGAGATGCATGGAACAACCTCTTAGCCTGAGACAAATCTCCAACCTGGGCATAACCAGAAATCATAGTGTTCCAGGAGATGGCATCCCTAACAGGCATTTGGTCAAAAATCAACCTAGCATCACCCAACATGTTTCTCTTCACATACCCACCCATCAAACAATTCCAAGAAATCAATTCCCAGTTCGATTGGGACTCAAACAATTGCCGTGCCTCCTCAAGTCTCCCGTTGTGAACATAAGCTGCAAGCAGCCCATTCCAGGAGATTGAATTCCTATGAGGCATCCTATTAAAAACCTCCCTTGCCTCATCAACAAACCCATTCTGGGCATACCCAGACAACATGGCATTCCAGGAACAAACATCCTTTTCAGGCATAAGGTCAAACAACTTGCGAGCTTCTCCGAGCCTGCGGTTCCTGACATATCCAGTGAGCATAACGTTCCAGGAAAACAAGTCCCTCTCAGGCATTTTATCAAACAGTTCCCTTGCGAGGGAGAACTTTGCGTTCCTCAAGTACCCAGATATCATGGCGTTGTAGGAGACAGAGCTGCGGCAAGGCATGGAGTTGAAGACTCCGAGAGCAGAGTCGCAGCGACCATTGCGCATGTGGGAAGATATGGCCTTGTTCCATGTGAAAATCGCAGGGTCTTTGACTTTGACGGAGTTGGTGGTGATGGATGAAGACTTGCTGCTTCTGCTTCGTCTTTTACTCCTAAAACTATTCGTAGAAAAATAACGTGAATTACACATACGCAAGTGCCTCACAACATAGGTATAGTTGGTGTGCATTGTATTGAAAGTCTTCATGAGCTACCATACTAACTACCTAGCCCAGCTATTATGCTTCGTCTTCACCATGCATCAACTTGTTCAAGTATAAACATACCGATCATTTTATCTGTTCAGAACTTTTCTGTTTTTCAACTCAAAATTGATAAAAATTAGAAAACAAGACTTCGATCATCCAGTTCTTGGATCGAACTTTTCCATGGTATATCCATAATTCTTTTAAATTTCTCCATTAAAAGAATACCTGTTATATTAGCAAAAATATCTGAATAATGATAATATATGTTGAGATTAAGTAGTGAGTGTATTTAAAAAAATTTTCTGATGAAATAATGTCTTTATAAAATTTTTATAGCATGATTATTCATATATATTTAAATATATTATATTACTGGAATATAATCAAATATAATAATTCGATGTATTAGATCATCAATAATTATATTATAATATTTTAAAGATATCAAATATTATATTATACTATCTTAATATATAACAATAAATTATTATATCATAATATATTAATTATAAATATGTTGGAAATATTTTATATTTATTCAATAGGGAGGGTACAATTTATACTTATAATTAGGTTAATTTTCGTCATATTTCATACTGTCACCAATAATCCCCACAAGAACAATTACCCTCACTGAAGTGGTGAAATCGATGAGAATCCCTTACGATTATCAACCTTCCAACAATCTTGGAGATGTGTTTGATGGCATTATGACAGTCTTCACAGACTCGCAAGTTTTTCATGACACGTATTGGTCTACCAGCCGGAATAGTCAGAATTCCAAATGCTACAGCTAATTTCTCACTGTGATACTTTAGCATATGCATCTTCTCCTCCTCTTCCACATTGTGCAAGACCAATTTTGTTGCAGGAACATACCCTTCTTGTTTCATTTTTAAATCTAACTCTTCTAAGAAGGCATATATTCTGCGTTTCTCTGGGTGAAAACAATCCCCAGCTGTGAATGTATGAATCTTGTTATGTATCTCAACCCAACTATACCCTGGTGTTTTATGAACACCAACTTCCCTCATTTTCAATCTAATTTTACTAACATCGACCCATCTCTTTGAAGCTGCATATAAATTTGAAAGAAGAACATACGTTGCCGAGTTATTAGGTTCCATCTTGAAAACCATCTCAGCAGCCTTCTCACTCAGTTCCATATTGCCATGAATTCCGCTTGCACCTAATAGAGCTCCCCATATTGCAACATCTGGCTCGAAAGGCATGTTTCTGATTAAGTTCTGTGCTTCTTCCAGACGACCTGCTCTACCAAGAAGATCGATCATGCAAGTATAATGTTTTGAATTTGGTTTTACACCATAATCCTTATCCATTGAATGAAAATATTCAGTACCCCTGTCTGTCAAGCCATTATGACTGCAAGCTGATAGCACGCCAACCTGAAATATTATTAGAAGAAGAAGCGAAATGATTTTTCTTGTAGAATAGGGTCAAAAGGCAAGCTAGTGCATTATAGATAAAACACTAAAATTAACGACTCATTCATAATTGATTTGCTAGTTCTTTATGATTATGATCATCGTATTTGTATACAAAACAAGAAGCAACCAAAGCAACTATTAATTAGCTGAAACTGTATTAAGTATTAAACCGTAAATTTATCAGAAAATTGATTTATAAACCTGTGTAAGTTAAAAATAATTAAGTGAAAAGTAAACGATAAAAACAAGTTTTTTGCAAAAAACAATTAGATAAGGGACAATTATCCATGCACAAGAAGTGCATAAAATATGTTTACCATGGTAATCTCATCAGGTTTAACCCCTGCTGTGATCATTGACTCAAATACTGTTAAAGCCAGCCTGCCAAATCCATGCCTAGCATAACCAGATAACATTGTGTTCCATGAGACGATATCTTTATGTTGTATTCCTTGAAACACTTCATAAGCTTCATCTATGCAGCCACATTTACAATACATTCCAACAAGTGCATTCCCCACTAAACAGCCGTTTTCATACCCTGTCTTCACAACCTGTCCATGAACTTGTTTCCCTAACTCCAAAGCAGCTATATCAGCACATGTGCTCAGCGCACAACAAAAGGTAGATCTATTTAAACCTTCTCCATCTCGTTTCATCTCCACAAGCATGTTCATAGCTTCTTCATAGTGACCATTCTGAGCATAACCAGCAATAATAGCTGCCCAAGATACAGAATCATGCTCAGGCATCCTATCAAACAAGTTCCTTGCCTGTGCTACATCACCCTCCTGACAATAACAGCTTATCATGATATTCCATGAACCTATATTTGGAAAAGGCATCGCCTCAAACAATTTTCTTGCCATGTCCACTCTCTTGTATTGTACATAACCAGCAATCATTGTATTGTACGACATCTCTATTCTCTGTGGCATTTCATCGAAAACTGTCCTCGCTTCATCCAACATTCCAATCTGCACATAGGCATACACCATTGCTGTCCACGTGAAAACATCCCTTACTGGAGACTCCGCAAACAATCTCCTAGCCTGCGACAAATCTCCATCCTGTGCATAACCTGAAATCATGGTATTCCAGGAAACTACATCCCTAATAGGCATTTGATAAAAAAGAAGCCTAGCTTCGCCTAACATGTTTCTCCTCACATACCCACCCATCAAACAATTCCAAGAAATCAATTCCCAGTCTGACCTGGACTCAAACAAGTTACTGGCCTCTTCGAGTCTCCCACTCCGAACATATGCTGCAAGCAACCCATTCCACGAGATGGAATTCTTGTGAGGCATCTCATCAAAAACTTCCCTTGCCTCATCAGCGTGCCCACTCCGGACATACCCAGACAAAATGGCATTCCAGGAAACAACATCCTTTTCGGGCATTAAATCAAACAACACGCGAGCATCACGGAGTCTGCGGTTCCTGACGTAGCCAGTAAGCATTAGATTCCAGGAAAACAAGTCTTTGTGGGGCATTCTATCAAACAGGTCCCTTGCAAGTGAGAACTCTGCGTTCCTCAAGTACCCAGATATCATGGCGTTGTAAGAGACAGAGTTTCGAATCGGCATGGAGTTGAAGACTCGGAGAGCCAAGTTGCAGTGGCCATTGCGCATGTGGGTAGAGATGGCTTTGGTGCATTTCACAATGTGGGAGTCTTTCTCTTTCAAATGGGGTTTCGGAAAATTAGAGGGTTGTTGAAGTTGAAAGTTGCTGCTGTGTAACTGCCTCAAGTTAAACTTCCCGCGCATTGTTTTTGTGTCACACTATATAGGATTGTATTTTAAATAACCAGGAATCATATATTTTGGATTTTACGGTTGTTTTCTAGTTTAACGTTGCTATGTTTGAGGAAAATTTATGACAGCTTTTAGCGTATGAATGAGACGTAAGTCCTTATTTGATTATCATTTCAGGACCATGATGCGTTATTTTACATAACTTACTCTTTAATTTGCGTTTGCAGGGTCTATGCAGGCCATCCATGTTATGTTTTAAAAGATTATATTCGCGTGTTTGAGTAATTCAATCATGAATTCGATATTTATTTTGTATAAATTTAATCTGAATCTGAAAAATGTTATTTTAAAGTTTATATTTTTTATTGAACGNTCCAGGAAAACAAGTCTTTGTGGGGCATTCTATCAAACAGGTCCCTTGCAAGTGAGAACTCTGCGTTCCTCAAGTACCCAGATATCATGGCGTTGTAAGAGACAGAGTTTCGAATCGGCATGGAGTTGAAGACTCGGAGAGCCAAGTTGCAGTGGCCATTGCGCATGTGGGTAGAGATGGCTTTGGTGCATTTCACAATGTGGGAGTCTTTCTCTTTCAAATGGGGTTTCGGAAAATTAGAGGGTTGTTGAAGTTGAAAGTTGCTGCTGTGTAACTGCCTCAAGTTAAACTTCCCGCGCATTGTTTTTGTGTCACACTATATAGGATTGTATTTTAAATAACCAGGAATCATATATTTTGGATTTTACGGTTGTTTTCTAGTTTAACGTTGCTATGTTTGAGGAAAATTTATGACAGCTTTTAGCGTATGAATGAGACGTAAGTCCTTATTTGATTATCATTTCAGGACCATGATGCGTTATTTTACATAACTTACTCTTTAATTTGCGTTTGCAGGGTCTATGCAGGCCATCCATGTTATGTTTTAAAAGATTATATTCGCGTGTTTGAGTAATTCAATCATGAATTCGATATTTATTTTGTATAAATTTAATCTGAATCTGAAAAATGTTATTTTAAAGTTTATATTTTTTATTGAACGGATCATCTAGATAGATTATCCCTAATTGACTTATTTTAGAATAAACATCACATTAACACTTAATTAATGATAATTATGAATCAAATAACTAATGCTGATTACAGTATGATTCAATCATGCATTCATGTATTTAATATTTTTTAGTTCAGTTACCTATTTACTTTAGTATAGAATATCTTTTGTAAGTATGGTCGGAATGGTATTTTAAGAGAGATCTTTGAGACAAAATAGATAAGAGAGAAGAGTGACACAAAACAAAATTATTCGAGAATTGAAGTACTCAACTGGCTCACACCGAAATATTTTGACGTTTATCTTGAGACAAAACAAACATTTATTTTAACCTATGATAATTATAAGAAACATGATGAACAATGTACTAGTGAAAGACGTTAACGAGCATCATCTCAACCATCTAATTGATCATTAGACCTCAATCATTTGGTTGATTATTCGATACCAATCTCTTAGCCTAAATTTTCATGTGGACATTTTAGTCTTAATATTTTAATTTGATCATTCAAGTTAACTATTAGACCTTAATTAGTCGTTTAATCATTTGATCTCAATTATTACATTTGAATTATTTATTTTGTATAAATTAAATCTGGTTATGAAAAAAAATATGATTTTACTAAGTTTATATTGTCTGTTTCATTTCCAAAATAAGAAATCAAATTATGCATTTAAAACTCTATCGAGGAATCATAAGTAAAAATGTAATGGAGGGAACGAGGAGTTTAAATAAGAAAAGCTCCTTTTCCCATGTCATGTCATCAAATTTTTAGCGCTCGAGTTCGGTGGGACCCACGGCGTTTGAAAATTGAATCGACAAAGTAAGAAACGAAATTGAAGAAAAGCACACAAAATTTAATGCTCAAAAGAATAAACAATCATCACTGCAAAACGCAGAAACTACACTAACATTTCTTTTTCTTCACTTTCTTCAGTTTCAGTTCATTCCACCAAAATTCAAAATTCTCCGAGAGAAGAGAGAGAGAGAGAGAGAGAGTGATGGGTTGCGTTTCTTCCAATCTTCTCAACCAAGACGAAGAATTCACCCAACTGGGTTCCTCCGCCTTGGGCCACCACATCGTCTCCCTCACCTCCACCACCTACGGCCTTCTCACCCTCGACCCACCGCACACAACCACCCCTTCTACACCTCCTTCACGTTTCACCCTAGCCTCTCTTTTCCCCTCCGAACCAAACTCCGAACCCAAGTCCCTTTGGTCCGAACCAAGACCCTTCCGATCCGAACCCGAGATCATAAACTCATGGGAACTCATGTCCGGTCTCGACACCGAAAGCTTCCGCTTTTCCAAAGAAAACTCCAACCCTAACCTCCTCACTCCCACCAAACCCGGTCCAACGCCACCGAACCGGTTCGAGCGAATATGTCCCCCGAGCGGGGAAAACCGCGTGGTGATCTACACGACGACGTTGCGCGGCGTGCGGAAAACGTTCGAGGCGTGCAACGCGGTGCGCGCGGCGTTCGAGGCCTTGGGCGTGGCTATCTGCGAGCGTGACGTGTCGATGGACAGCGGGTTCCGGGAGGAGCTGAGAGGGTTGCTGAAGGGGAAGCAGAGAGAAGCGATGGTTCCCCCGAGAGTGTTCGTGAAGGGCCTCTACATCGGTGGCGCCGAGGAAATGCTGAAGGTCGCCGAAGATGGTATTCTCGGAGAACTGCTTAAGGGGTTGCCGAAGAAGAAGGTTGGTGCCGTTTGTGAGGGTTGCGGAGACATGAGGTTCTTGCCTTGCTTCAACTGTAATGGCAGTTGCAAGAGTGTTGTTAAGGAAGGGGGAAGAGTATTTGTTGTTAAGTGTCTCCATTGCAATGAAAATGGCTTGATCTTGTGCCCTGTTTGTTCTTGATTACTTTCCTGCCATAATAATATTACTCTTAGTCTCTCTTTTCGTGTAATCACTGTCTTCTGATCCTGCTTTACTTGTTGCTTCCTCCAGTAACAATTTTCTGAAATCATCTTCAAGGCAATCAAAATGGAATTGCAAATGTGAAAAAAGAAAAAAGAAAAAAGGTAGTCACATTCTTGCATTCCATATATGTATCTATAAAAAAACTACATTGTTTTTATGACTTGTATGAAGAACAGGTATCTCAGGATATATAACAAATTCTATTTAATGTTAACCAAGTTACAGTACTAGAAGTTATTGAAATGAATAATTCAAAAAAGTTGAAGTTGTGGTAGAAAACCTGTGTACCAATTCTTCTCTAATAGTCCTGTTATAAACAAGAAAATAAAATTTCTGTATGTTCTGTTTTCATTGCTCTGTTTAGGAATTACCTGTTATGTGTGCAATTTCTTCAACCTTGATGCATGTGTTAAGCTTTGCAGCTTCTGGATTTGTATTTATAATTTCACTGTTTGTGCATTTTCATATGTGTTTGGTCTTGAATTCCAATGAAAGCGATATTAAATTAAAGATTCATCTATCTATTCATTTTGTATTCTCACTGTTGTGTCTCTATCATAGGTAATGTTATTGGACAATGTACTTCAACTTTTTCCCTTTTTATTTAAATTTGATGTATGAGAAAGTTTCTAATAAATTGATAAGAACTGAGGAGTCAGATTAAAGTATTATGAAGTTATAGTACTGATAAACTTCGAAAAAGAAATACATTATGTTAGTTTTTATGATCTTGTACCAAAAGCTGGAATGAAATTTGATACATCTAATATGACCTATAACTTTTACAACTTTATGTTTGTAGAGTAGGCTTTAAAGTAAGGACTGAAAAAATTCTTTCATTAAATTTTGCTTTAGTACACTTAGCTTCATTCTAGTTCTTAATGAAACTTGATACAGCAAATATGACCTATAACTTTTACAACTTTATGTTTGTAGAGTAGGCTTTAAAGTAAGGACTGAAAAAATTCTTTCATTAAATTTTGCTTTAGTACACTTAGCTTCATTCTAGTTCTTAATGAAACTTGATACAGCAAATATGACCTATAACTTTTACAACATTATGTCTGTAGAGTAGGTTTTAAAGTAAGGACTGAAAAAATTCTTTCATTAAATTTTGCTTTAGCACACTTAGCTTCATTATAGTTCTTGTTTCAATGCTGTAATTTCTTACACGAGAATCTTTTTAACCTATTTTAAAAGATGTATTTCAGATTTAGGAAGTAATTTCCAATTCTGGAATTTTTTATATTTTAAAATGACTATTTTAAAAACTATTTCCAAATTTGAAAATATATTTTAAACTCAAAATTATATTAAAAAATATGTATTTTAGAAGTTATTTCTATATTTGAAAATATATTCTGAAACACTTGTTTCAGAATACAAATCTACGTTGTCCAGTCCAGAACTATAATTAGAGCACAAAATCTTACACTTTATTCAATTAATTGCAACAGGGGTACATCGGAATTTTACAAAATATAGAGGTGTAAGAAGAAAACATGGGAGTGCAGAAAGAAATTCCCTACATAACCCATTGTAGTTCTTAGACTACCATAACACATCAACTGATAGACTTAAAATGAATGTTGGTTTTCGTGAAACATAGTTTTTAATTTGACATTCGTTCTTAACTTTTGCTGTTGAAATATATATATATATATATATATATATATATATATATATACATATATGTATATATATATATAATTTCGGATCCCATTTTTTCATATAATTTCTCGTTTAAATTGACTAACCCTAATTGGGCCATAAATTATGACAATTTGTCTTTAACTAACCCATCAAGAGGGCTTTGGAAAGCACATATATACATGTGATAAATGGTAATTTTCAAAGTATTTAATTTAATTAAAAATAAAAAATTTAAGTCCACAACATAAAGCTGATGAACTAAAATTAACTTGGTACAAAATATATTTTCTTCTTTAAGTGAATCGCAATTTTAATGATTGTTTTAAATAATGTGATTTAAATCTACTTCCCAACACTACAACTGTAAAAATAGAAAGCGTAATTGTGGATATCACATTGCCGACATGATATTTATAACGAGTGTACGATATTGTTTTGGGCTCGTTGTTTATTTCGTAGGACAAAAATACCCTTCGCCTTTATGCCAATACCTCAACATTATGCTGAAAGACCCTAATTACATAAATTATGCATTTTGAAATCATTAATTTTTCTAGATAATTATTTGGAAAGATTTTTCACGAATTTCAAATAATATTTTCTGAAAAGTTTGATATTTTTAAATATGATTTTTTATCTTTATTAAATTAAATCTGTTTCTAGTACCTAAATTTAAAGATAATGCATGATCATTTATCTTTAGTATAATTGAGAAAAAGTATATTTTGAGAATATAAATTTTTTACATTTGACACAATCTTTTCTTATTTTTTTTATTGAAAAAACAATAATAATATTTTGATATAGTATGAAACTTATTTTTGCTGAATTTTTAAACTATCACAATGTATAATTTTAAAATTTAATAACACTTAATATGTCAAAGGATTGTTTTTGTTATATTGACTCTACTCTTAAAAAAAATACAAAAAATTTATATATTTATGATCATTTTATTTATTATTTCATTTATTTTTATATTATGTGTTAAATGAATGTTTGATGACCCAAAGAAGCAGAGAGAATTGACAAGAGATGAAGATGGTGATGGAGACTTAAACGTTCCCCTAAATGATAAATCACCCGTGAAGCATACAACTGTCTAAAAATAATGCCACCGCAACACCCAATGCAGCTACAGCCATTTTTGTCCCTCCAAAACCAACCACAGGTCGCTATTAGCACATGCCAATCCAGTCCCACCAAGATCAAATCATGTCAATTTTCTATCAAACAAATTAACCCAATTGAAAAAAAATTACACTCCTAAGCACAGAGCAAAGATTCAGATTTACAAATGCCATGTCCTGGCTGCATTTCAGTTAGGTGGATGATACAGTGAAATAATGCACTCCAAGGAGTAACAAAGAGAGAAAAATCGGTGCTTGGAGGTAGCTTGATGGAGATTCATCTGACATTTCAGATGAATCAACGGCAAGAGGCATTCCATCACTGTTTAGAGTGCATGATTGTGGGTCAGACCCTTCCTTGCTCAACATCAGAGCTCGAAGAACCCCAGAAACTGTGTGAATGTAAGCTGTTCGATTCTTTGCCAGAAGCCATGTCAGACCCATGAGTTCACAGTCTTTGTTATGGATCTTGGTGGTCCTATCTTCCGACTTGCTTGAATTTGAAGACTTCTTTCTAAGCTGCGTACAACCAAAGGCTTGTTAAGTTATACATCTTTTATTATATTGGTGTAACATCCACTCCTAGAACAAAGGTCAAAGCTGCACATCAATGCTAGCTATCTATTACAAAAATAGCTCATGGGAGAAGTATATATCAACCAACTAATTGTTTAGCTTAGACAGGTTTGGTTTTGAAACATGGGATTGTGTGAAGATTATAATGGTGGGACATTGTGCTATGATTCGTTTGTTTTTAGGGAAGCAACAACGCTGAACAATATTCAGAACATCTTAAATGAAGGCCTAGTAGTTTTTTAAGTGATGAATTTAAGATTCTGAAACAATGCATGGGATTTTTATACGTGTGGAAAAATAGGCACAAGAGACATAATTTTAGCAGACTGCTAAATCAAATCAGAAACAGGAACGATAAATCCAAATATGGCTGCAGATATTATTATATCAGCTAATGCCAATATCTATGAATTAGGCAGAAAATGTGTCAGGCAATTTGTGAATGCTTCAGAAGAATCAGCTGGAGAATCAGATCTCAGTTTTACTCATCGCAGTCAATTTACTAGGTAGCCGCATGTGACGGGAAAAAAAATAATGAACTGAACGTACAACCCTGTCTCTACGCTTAAAACATCATTAATGGCCAGTGACAAGAACAATAACACTAAATTCATTGCAATGTGTCGTGCTTTTAAGAAATAACACTTTTTCTCGTGAACAAGAACTTGTTTTACACGACATAACTAGTTTTAATGCTAAGTGCTAGTAGAACAAATGTCTTGACAGCAAGAATGTAAAAACTTCTGTTCATTTTGAAGACAATGTAGGAACATCACATGTGCTTAATCCATTATGGGTACACATGATTTCAAAACATTCGAATCATTTGACCAAAATTCATATCAGTAACTCTCAAATTACTAAAGTGGACACACAGTGCACTAATAATGTTTCTGTAAACTTTCGTGAGCTACACTGATCGAAAGGCGCGTAAAGCAGAGTGCCAATAACCACTATCCGAAGTAAAGGAAGGCAAAAAAAGAAAAACACTTTCCCAATCATCGAGCATGAAGATGAAACCTTGATCAGCTTCATCATATTCAGAGATGTAAGATCTATCCATCGCTTAAAAAACAAACAATGCTAAAGAAAGAACACTGTACAAAACAAAATACGAAGGAAGTAGCTGAAAACTTACCGAATAGAGACTATGCAAGCACTTGGAGCATCCTCCTAGGCCTGGAAACTTATTGACATTATTGCTGCTACTCAAGCAATCCTTTTCCAATCTTCTAACACTTCCATCTACCACAAGACTCCCACTTGGAGTAACTGAAAAAGACTCGGTGCAGGTCAAAGGGTGGAGCCTAATGCCGCAGTAGCAATACACCACATCACAAGTCTCGTTAGGCTGAACAAGCTGGATTCCTCTAACTTTCAAGGCCTTCCCCAAGTCGCTCACACATGTTTCTGAATCGTCAGGCAACAAGGGCATGTCATAGGATGTGGTATGGCCTTGTGAGGCACGTTCGTGTTGCATTCCACCACCAAGGGCAGTGACCGAGTAAGCAGAATAGAGCCAGGCAGCAAGCACCGGACAGCATCTGCTACGGTGGAGGTCTATATCTGCAGCATTTTTGCTGGAGCCGCATGCACTCTTTATTCCTTCATAGTGTTCATCAGAGAG